CAACTGGAGAAAAACTATCAAATAAATCCACTCCTTCCTTTTGCAAATATCCCTTTGCCACCAATCTTGCTTTGAATTTGTCAATTGTGCCATCTAGATTTCTTTTGACTTTATAAACCCATTTAGATCCTATAGTTTTCTTTCCTGCTAGGAGTTTAGTGAGAATCCAAGTGTGGTTTGATTCCAATGCCTCCAATTCCCTTTGCATAGCAGTTATCCATCTATCATCCCTTATAGCATGTTCATGAAAGAGTGGTTCTCCTACAGTTTGATCCACTGTAGAAAAGAAGGAATTAACCTCAATACTCTCTGGTGACTCAACAATGTAGTCTGACATCCAACATGGTGCCTTCCTCACCCTGCTGCTTATTCTGTTTGCATTGTCAGGTGAGTGAACAGGATCAGATGGTTGAGTATCTGTGGCAATGGAATGTTCAAAACAATCCTTGTCTTCATCAACAGTGATTGGCAAATGAATCTCTGATTTTGACAAACAATCAGCAACTGTGAGCTTGTGGAAAGGAAATTCATGTTCATAGAACACAACATCTCTGGTGATGAACACATTTCTAGTTTTCAAGTCATATACTCTGTAGCCTTTTGTTCCTGACACATATCCCAAGAATGCACATACTATTGCCCTCTCATCAAACTTCCTTCTGTATGGATCTAGCTTGCTTGCAAAGCATAGGCATCCAAATGCCTTGAACATGTCATATACTGGTGTAATTTCATGCAACAATTCAAAAGGACATTTCCAACCAAATTTTTCACTTGGTAGGGTGTTAATGATTTGTACAGCTGCCAACAAGCTATAAGGCCAAAGGTATTTTAGCATATTTGCTTGAAATGAAAGTGATCTTGCTACCTCAAGTATGGACCTGTGCTTCCTTTCCACTTCCCCATTTTGTTGTGGGGTGTATGCACATGTTCTCTGATGAATCACACCATTGTCCTTCAAGAAATTCTCCATTTCTTTATTAACATACTCACTTCCATTGTCAGTTCTTAATTTTTTGACCTTCACATTGAATTGAACTTCAATCAGCTTGAAAAATGACCTCATATGAATGATTGTTTCAGACTTGTATTTCATGAGATAAATCCATGTGGCTCGAGTAAAATCATCTACAATGGTAAGCATGTATGAGGTATTCAAAAATGAGTTTTCATGGTGTGGACCTCAGACATCCACATGTATGAGTTCAAACTTTCCTTTACTTTGTATGTGACTGAGAGGAAAAGGTAACCTTGGTTGCTTTGACTTATGACAAATTTCACGTACTCCTAGCTCTTCCTTTGAACAATCTCCCTTTATGAACTTCAAATGTCTCAAGCAATTAATTGAGTTGTGGCCAAGCCTTTTATGCCATAGGATTAGTTCCTTGTCAACCTGCATTTGTCTACTGACTGAATTAGCATACACCCCATTAGCCTCTATAACATATAAGCCTTCCATAGCCTTGCCAACTGCAATAGTCAAATTTTCCTTTGTATTCTGCAACATGCACTCTTCATTGGTGAAAGAAAACTTCAAACCATTCTTTTCAACTAGTTGCCCCACTAACAAAAGGTTGTATTTGAATTCTGGTATCAACAACACATCTTTGAGAACAATTTTGTTGTTAAGGTTCACCTCACCTATTTGTGTTACTTTCACCTTTGAGCCATCTGGTAGATTCACCATAATAGGACTTGTCACCTGAGATTTTTTGCATACCAGCTCAACATCACAACAAATGTGCTTACTAGCACCTGTATCAATAATCCAACTTCCTCTGGCAAGTTTATTTGTCAGTGAGAATGCATAATCTTCACTGTCATTAGTTAATTCAACAAAATGAGAGAATGTGTGAGCCTTAGAATTGTGTTGATTTGACATATATTTAGCCACCTCCTTCTGTATAAGCAAGCCAATATCTGTTGATGAATCACTTTGTTGAGATTTAGTTTCTGAATCAGCCTTTGAGGAGGAGTCATCACTTTCTGTCATGTTAGCATTTTGATTTTGCCTTTTTTTTTTTCTCTTAGTTCCTTGAACTAATCAGGACACCCATTTAGTTTAAAACAACCTTGAACATCATGGCCATTGTACCCACAATGAGTACAAAATAATTTTGCTCTTTCCTCCTTTGAGAGTCTTGGTCCAAATCTGCCTTTTTCCATGTTATTGGACTGTTGTCCTCCTGTAAAATTTCTTCCACCATTTCCACGGCCAAAGTTTTGCCCTCTCCATGTGCCTCTGCCAAAGCTGCTCTTTACTAACATGGCTGAATTTTCAAATAGGTTCTTTCCTGCAGTGACACTCTTTTGCTTTTCCACTTTCAAGATCATGGAATATGCTCGATTTATGGTTGGCAAAGGCTCTAGCAATAGAATCTGATTTTTGACCGCTTCAAAAACTTCATTCAACCCCATAAGAAATTGCATGAGTTTGATTTCCATGTCTAAAGCACAAAAAGCTTTACCAGCACCACAAGTACAGTCAGGCAAAGATATAAGACATGAAAACTCATCCCACAAACACTTCAGTTTTGTATAATACGCAGTGACAGACAATGATCTCTGTGTAAATGTAGCAATTTCCTTCTGCAATTGATACCTTAGAGGTCCGTTACTTTCACCATATCTTTCAGCCAATTCATCCCACAACTGTTTGGCACTTTTGACAATCATAAAAGCTTCTACAATTTCTCTCGAAATAGAGTTAAGAATCCAGGAAATGACCATAGACTCTACCTTTTGATATTGGTCGTGTTCCTCAGAGCCTGGATCTCGAATCCGTACTGTGCCATTAATGAAGCTAAGTTTCGACTTAGCACTCAATGCAAGATTCATTGCTCTGCTCCAATGGAGGTAATTCGTGTCGTTCAGTTGACTGGTGACGAGGACCATCCTAGGGTGGTCCGATCCATGTAGAGAAAGCGGATCTATGTCGCGAGTGTAAATTCCTCTTCCAACGATCTCATTAGTGTGCGCCATTTACTTAACTTGCTTTAGATACCATGTAGATTTTGCTCAAGTAAAGATTTAACAAACAAAATGCGAAAATATTAAATCACCATTTTCAGAAGAGAGTTTCAAGCTCTAAAATGTTCAGTACATCTGATAAACCTACTATCGAGCTAAGAAGAACGACAAAACCATATTCCCCAATAACAAGACAACACGTGTGACCAATAAATGGTGAACACGTGAGCTGAGGGAACAAAAATAAAAAATACACAGCAAATAAAATAGAAGCACACGATTATAAGTGTTTCGCGCTTTTTGATTAAAACAGAACGAAAGGAAATGAAATAAAATGCCAACACATCTGCCATAGCAACTGATCAAGTCAACAAAAATTCATCTTAAGCAACATTTAACCGAGAAAAATTTAACACACATCCATTGTTGCGAGATTACATTAACATTTTTCATTTAAATTAGCGTGCGATGGATGCTGTTCTTTTAAATAGTAATTATGTATTTCTTAAATAGTAATTTTGTATTTACAAATTAATTAATTTGGCCACAAATTTAATGGGGTGCATACGCATGACATGTCAGTTTCTATTGTTATTTACATTTATGACCATATTGATCGATAATACAAATATTTTTGTTGAATTTCAGATGACACGTGTGCACGACGTGTCATTTTATTGAAATTCAAAGTTATTACCAATATTATCCTTAATTTGATCGATTTTAAAAATAACATGCCTTCTCTTGATCAATTAAAAACAAATGAGACTACCTTTAATACACTCACACCACTGAAATTCAAATTTATGCCCAAAATTATTCTCAAATTGAACAATTCTAAAAAATACTTCTATTAATCAATTAAATTAAATACAAACAAGACTATTTTTAACACACATTGTTAGTAATATGACCAGTTTTGAAATATTCCCTTTAAGTTCAACGCATTATGCAGTAAAAGAATCAAATAAGTTGCACTAATTATCTGCACATGCAAGTCATTTTTATAATTGATTTGGAGGCGGAATAAAAAGATTTCAACACCGATGTCAAAAGCATGCTCTTTTTGAGTCAAAATTCTAATAAAAACGCCTACTTTTCAAGAAGACTGCTGCAAAAGCTTATTCATAAAATGGCTGTTTTGACCAAAAGCTATTAACTTGCAACACTTTAGTGAACGAATCTTTTGGGTGAATAAAATCTTATTATTTTGAGTTTGATTTATTTTTTTTATGAATATCTTATGAATATGCAGGCATGGTAACATGGGATTCACGAGGGTTTGTATGGGAATATTCTTCACTTTTCGGCTGAATGTAATATGAGTCAAAATTTCCACGTGTTGTGGGCCTTGACACTATGGCAATGAAATCAAACAACGCCCATAGTTTTTGCATTAATATATAATAGGTCCAAAAGGATTATTGGGCTTTGATCAGTTAGTAAGCCTGGGCCAGCAAGAGTCCGATCTGGGTCAATCCACCTATACCAATAGCCTATTCGGCTGAATGTAATACGAGTCATTGACTATTTGAGACTTTATAGCTGAAAACCGATTGAATTAGATAATAGTTAATATCAGACTAAGTTAAAAATTTTAACCAATTCACTGGATTGGTTGATTATGAAAAAGTATTTGATAAATAATTATGTGTTGGATATATAAAAACAAGTAACTTTTACATTCCTCTATTAAAAAAAAAAAAATTTGATAAATAATTATGTGTTGGATATATAAAAACAAGTAATTTTTACATTCCTCTATTAAAAAAAAAAAAATTAACTGAGCTTTTTCGAAACTAATTTTTTAATTTATAAAGCTATTTTAAGCATTTACTTACCAAACAATTAATTAGAAGCTTCCATGGGTCAAACATCTCATTCAACCAAAATCATTAATTAAGCTCCAAATTGCCAAACAAGCTAATTTCTCATTTGTCTACAAGTGTGTGTGCTTTTTGGGATAAATTCTTCAATTATCATTCTCATTTGTTTTCATCACAATTTGAACTTTTTTCAAACTGCATAGCCTTCAGGGTCGCCAACGTCAGCACGGCCCAATCTTATGTTTGGGCCTCCCAAATTCTCGGGCCCAAAACCACACTTTTAACTCTTACCAAATTCTCTCTATTTTCTCGGAAAAAACAAAAAATGGCAATCTCGGTCTTGAAAGCCCACATTCTCCGGAAACAGAGCTCCCTGCACCAGCTATGGCCGCTCAGCGTAACCAACGGTGGTCTCCGCCGTAGACGATCCAACGAGTTTCCTCTTCTTCCTCTACTCTCACATCCCATCCATTTTCGCTCTCATCCTCTTCCAGTTCACAATTGTTCTCGCACTCCTCTCTCTACTTTCCTCCCTGTGCTCCGACGTCGTTTGCACCATCTATCGTGTTCCATGTCCTCACCGGAGGCCGACGGTACCTCCGCCGCCGGGGACAAAACGGTACGCGCTCGCTATGGATGTAATTTGTTTAATCCTCTTTGCTGTGAATTAATTCGCATTTTCATTTGTGCGTGGATAACATTAGGGTTTTCTGAGTGAAGTACAACTTTTGATGCGTGTGTTACTATCTTCAATAAAACTGTGGTTTGCCTGAATTTCACCCTCTTTTCAGCTACATGGGAACTAGAGTTGTTGGTTAACGAGTTAGGTTCAGCTCGGCTCAGAAAATGGAATTTTTATATAATTTTATGTAGCTTGGCTCAATTATATTGATAAACGAATCAATTTCAAACTCGATTATTAGTTCGTTAGTGAATCAATTTCAAACTCGATTATTAGTAGTGAATCAATTTCAAACTCGATTATTAGTTCCTTTAACTAACGAGCTGAGTCCCGTTTATAACCATACTTCACTTGGGAACTTATCCACATCAAATGCCCCTTGATAACCTCTTATACAGTTGTACATTTCTCTTTTCTCAAATCAACTGACAAACTAGAATAAGAGATTTTTTATTTTATTTTTTTTTGTAAGAGGAACACACAAAATTGGATAAGTAAAAATCAAGTCTTTAGTGAATTGAGAAATTGCTATATTTGATTGTAATATATGTATATATATCCATTTTTCTTTTGCAGGTGAAGGTGGTGATCAAGGGTAGGGTTCAAGGAGTGTTCTACAGGAATTGGACCATCGACAATGCAAAGGAATTGGGCCTGAAAGGTTGGGTCCGAAACCGTAGGGACGGGTCTGTGGAGGCCCTGTTCTCGGGAAGCCCAGATAAGGTTCAGGAGATGGAGCAGCTATGCAGGCGGGGCCCGCCCGATGCTATAGTAACGGGCCTACAGGTTGTCCCCTGCAGTGATGATCCTGGGCCCACGTTCGAGCGTAAGCCAACTGTTTAAGCAGATTATATGCGGTTTGAAGATAAATAGTGTATTATATTGATTCCCATTTTTAATAGTAACTCTGTCTTGGTAGTCTTGTGAGGATAATGCAATGTATGGATATGTATTATGTACTGTGGTTTTATGATAGTTATTAATAAAAGTCATTTTTGGGATTTAATTCTGACAGACTATAAGCTTGTGTGGATATCTGTATATTGAATGGTGAATAGGGGTGTAATTGTAAATGAGTCGAGCCAAGCTCATGGTACTACTCAAGCTTGATCTCGATCCCTGAACAAGCCAATAATCGAGCTCAAACTCGTATATATCAATATCAACAAGTCGAACTCGAGCTTTAACAAGTCCAGCTATAAAAAATCCTCATTTCAAGCCTTCACGAATCGAGCA